GAAACTATTAGCCGTTTAGAGTTATATTGTCGTTACATGGATATTACCTTTATAGTTCTCAAAAGTGAGACTGATAAGAATGTTGTTCTTAATAAGTTCCACGGTGTTCACCCGGCAATCCACTTCACAATGGAAAAGGAGAAAAGTGACAGTATCCTATTTCTTGATATTCTGTTGGTAAGATGGTTAGATGGAACTCTGAAACGAAGTGTATATAGAAAGCGAACATCAGTAGGTCAATACACCCACTTCTTTAGTGCCTTACCCTTCCAATACAAAAGGAACCTGGTGAAATGCCCAGCGAACTGTGCCACAGCTATTTGTTTAGATGATGCTATAGAGGAAGAGTTCGCCACCATCCGTGATCTGCTTAATAGGAATGGCTACCCAGACAAGTTGTAACTAAGCATATGAATATTACGAGGGTTAAGACAAGAACATCAACAATTCCTAAGAAGCAAATCTTCTTGAAGTTGAAATTCAAGAGTGACATTGTCATCACACAACGCATAAAGCATTCCTAGCCGCTAAATTATGTCCCATCTTCTACAGCCGCGTGATACTAGATGCAAGAAATGAAGACAAACTGCCTGATTCTGCCACTTTCATGTCCATTTATCAATTCAACTACTTCTGTGGAGCCAGTTACATTGGGCGTACAATGAGGCAGGCCCATCATATAATTTTTGAGCACCACACATCATGGTTGAGCAAAGGACAAATAAGAACAATGAAGAGCTCCATACTTGCACACCTAATTAACGCGGGACATCAGGTGGATACTAGCAAAGCTTTCAAAATCATCCATCGGATTCCAACTAACCCCATAGATTACGCACTTGCTTACTTCACAGAGCAGAGATGATTCCAATCCACCTTTGCAAACCTAGCCTTTGTATTCAAAAGAAGTTTGTTCGACCACTTTCATTACCATGGCGGTCAACATAATGCAACTTCTAGGATTACTTTGTACACCTCTTCCCCTTCTTGTTTTTATCAATATTCTTATTATTATGTAGTCGCTTATTGTGAATGAGTGGAGACTCATCAAAAATCACTCGACTTACCTAAGGATAGCCTGCTTCATATTTCCAATTTTAGTAACTTTATTGTTTACTTACATCTTTATTTCTAAAACATCACTGCGTGGTTGGTAATTTGATTAAATTGTAAAACTATATATTAGTGTAGACCCCAAGATGAAGACCTAATTGAAAAGGAATATAAATTCTTCGCTCAATCAGTCTTTTTCGTGTTTATTTAACTGATTGAAATGCAGGTTATCGAGCGTGATGAAACAACATATCAACCTGACCTACCTGTACAACTTTACGTTTCACAAGTGTCTCTGAAATCTACCTAACGGAATAGATTGTAGTGATAGACTGAAAAAGAGTAACCTGATAGTATGCGGCTATTTCATCAAAGCTGCATATGGTGTAGATTTTCAGGGGCAAATCGAGCCTTATGTTTTCATGTCAAATTGTTTTCAGCATTCAGTCATCCAGTAAAAGTGTGACTATCGAGACGGGTGTATATCACTCATCTAGATCAGATGTCTTGATTTATTCGTTAAACAACGAATTTATGTACATTATTCGAGAACAGTACCTTTCTTTTTACAAGTCCTAAACATTTATAAGTTACTGCAAAAGGTTTTTATCAAACTACATTTTCCAGGTGTTTCTGACGACAGGGAAACACTATGTACTTTAAAATGGCTGAAGGAATTTGGTTGAGAAATAGGAACAGATGAAGACTCTTGTAAGACTCGGGACATATCTAATTCTCTCAAGTTCGCTATTTGTGAGCAAAACATAGAAGTTGAACTGTTATATGCCGTAGGATTTTAGAAACAATGTCTGTGCGAATTATATCTCTCTAGCTGTTACCATCAATTTGTTAGGGCGAACTGAGCCCGACTACCATTTCCTTAGGAGCCTTAAAGATGTTTGAAGACTAAACATCAGAATGTGCTAGACTGCTAAATCGTTAAGTTTTCAACCCTTACAGCTACAGTTTAAGTTAGGCAGAGCACTGCAGTTTGTTCACTTGAGTTGTGCTTAAAGGTCAGAGTTGCACTTAAACTAAGTGTCATTCATTGATATAGCTATCTGTTCTTAGATTCAACCTATCGATTATAGAAAGTTTACCACTTAGCATAGCCCTTCTTCCATCAGTTGCCTAATTAAGTGTAAACAGTTACCCATACAAACTTTACAGTCACATTGATATAATTATTTGGTTATCTTTTGCTAAACAACACGTTTTCAATCAACTATATGAACTATTTTCCAATCAGTTTTATTTCAATCTCTTCTCTTACTGTTTATCTGTTTATGCAAAAGAACTGATAACATGCTTGTTTCATGAGTTTGTATAATTTGTTAACAGTTTGCCAAGTTGTCTATTCATTCCTAGAAAGTATGATTTTCACTTAATTGATTTTATCTTGACATGATATGACTAAGAGAGTTGTTTTTCAGCCACTGCTACTATTACCATTACCACTACCATTACTATTATTACTTCACATTTGACGTCGATTGGTACTGAATATTTTCAGTTTGTAGATTTTTATAGTACCGTATTTTGCAAAGACTTTTCAGTCATCTAAAATCAATGTATTTTACTTTGCTTTTTAATCAAGAGAACTCCATAAACATATACATATGTCAACTCTTTTAATCTCTTCATTTGAGAAACAACTATCACGTTGATGAGCTCTAGATAGTGAGAAAGATGTTTGGAGCATATGATTACTACTTTCCTGTGAATGCTATTAACAGACTCCTTTTATTTGAAGCTGTTTTTGTCGTTACTTATATACCAGGACTGATAAATGATTATGTGTAAAAGTCAAATATATTACAGTTAAATATGTTTATTTTGGGGCACGTTTGTAATACCTTAAAGGTAAATTTTTTCCTGAAGAACCAGAAGATATGTTTCGCTCAAGATTTTTAGTCTGATATTAAATGGCTGCCATATACCCCTGATTCTATCTGATTAAACTATGTGATCGAATTCGTATTTTTGGAAGATGACAGTTATTAGAGAATGGAAATGAACTCACTCACATCTTAAGCAATAATTAATGTCGGCGGAAACCCAATGCATTCTGAATTACGACTGGAAGTAGGAACCACCAATACATTACATTTTGCATAAAATTGAAGTTAAACAAGGTGAAGATGAATAAAAGGGCAGAGGATTATAGACACCCATTATTTTGGTATGTGTATTTTTCAATGAATGTAAAACAAAAATTTGTTTCAACTAACGTTTCACTATTTAGTGCTAATAGTATTATCAAGGTTACAGTACACCGGGATTTACAATATCCAAGCTTATATATGATAACTTGACAAGTGTTCTTCTACATGAATGATTCTGTGTTGTCACAATTGTAGAATTATGATTATATCCATGTGTAGTGTGTTGTGTGTAAAAAGTATGTGAATTACAGATTGAGATTTGTATGTACATAGATGCTGATAGTTCTTGTCACGTGTATGTTGGTTATGTCAGTATGTGGAGGTGGGTTGAGACCAGGTGAAACTACTTTCTACTCCCTCATTCTTATTTCGACAATTATGATTCCAATTTATGTGGAGAGATTCTGCTATGAGATATTCTTTATAATTTTAAGGCCTTTCTGAATAATTTCGGTATTGCCAAAATCGACCTTGTGATCTGAAACTGTAGAGCGTAGAGCTATGACTGGCGTTTCCAAGTTTTTTCAGTTCGATTGGATTTCTAGGGGTTCATTGGTGTCCTTTTTTTCTAATTTTGATTTCCTGGGGACGAAAGCGAACGAAGAAACGCACTCAACCACCTTGTGCACGTTCGTAAAGTAGAGAATGAGACACACCTACTGTGTGAGGCCTAGTGACCCTCATAGCTGCCTCAACCTCAGTAGGTGGAGGAGGTTCCACCCATTGACCCACTGGTTGGTAGTCATCTCCCTAAACTACAGAGCCACAGCCTCATGCATTTCGCAGGAAGTCTGTCCTAGGTATACTGTATCGGAGTCTGAGCATTTTAGTTTACGAACGCAATTAGATTGTGAATCCGAGAGGATCTCACCCTTCAAATCCACGAAGGTGCTCTGAAATGCGTTTAATGTTCTGTAGAACACTCTGATGGTATTGCAATTGCTGAGTACACTCTTCATATCACCCGATGTGTGTGATCTGTTCAGGATGAGTATTGCTGAATCCTACGATTTAGGAGTAGTTTTACGACCTAATTTAACATTATTTTCTATTTTGCGAATGACTCTAGCAATAGTAGTAGCTCTGCAACTACTGTTTACTTTTTTGTGCTCTATATATTATCAGAATGAGATAAAACTACTTTTTCACCACGTCCTCTGGTGTAATGATCGAAGTCGAAAGTAAACCGATCCATCCAGTTAGTTTCAATTCAATCAGGTTACAAGTATACTATAATTAAGAACACTTTGTGATAGGATTGATAAAAAGGATTTTGGAAATTATTCTAAAAATAGTCCAGTAGTAAGGTCATAAAATGAAATAATTCGATAACATGAATGTAGAAATATTGCCTGAGTTTTGTGCACAGTTGGATGAATGTGAATTTATTGCTTTACTTTTCTAAAACTGCAGTTCTATACTGGCAATGGAATTATTTCCCCCTTGAATGTAAACAAGGTATTTATCAGCGTCTGGGAACATCAGTCATCTAGCTGATTTATTTAGATGGTAATAAATAATCAAATAGAACATAATTAACATAGTCAGTCAGGTTCGTGTAATTTGTGACTGCAAGAGGCAATATCCAGCAACTCAGATCAGAGGTAACGAACAGAAATTCAGTTATGTAACTGAGTGTTTAAAGGGCTGGTTTTTGTTTTCGTAAGTCATAGCTTCATACAATATTGATAGTTAGGCTTTTTCGTGTGGATCCTAAACGTTGGATATCCTCTATGCTACTTATTCATTTTTCTTAACTGTCTCCTTTTTAGAGAGTGCATTATGGAACACAAAGATGTGGAGAACTTTGTTTACTTAATCCCATCAGTTTTGACATGGATAGTGAATATTATATTACGTTTGATAATGTTACCATTTGGAATATTATTTCTTATCGGATATATTGGAAGATATTGCTTCAAAAAGTCAGAACTACGTGAAAAATTATCTAAAAAACAACAACTGTTAATGGAACGAATGGATAATTTGAGACAACGTCTTTCAACACTGAAAACTAACTCTAATATCGATCTGCTGTCAGTTACAAACAATGATTTGGATACAATTCAGGAGCAGTTGATCGAAGGCAAATTTACACCAGTTGACTTATTACATGCTTATCAAATGAAAGCTTTAAAATTATATGACATAGGAAATTCAGGTGTATGCGAATTTATAGATGAAGCAGAGAATTTAGCTATTGATCTTGTTGAATCAAATCATTTGCCTAAAAGTAAACAAACGTTAGTCGGGATTCCTGTCAGCATAAAAGAATTGTGTTTAACTAAGGGGTATGATACAACCTTTGGTTTAATAAAGCGATGTAATCAACCTTCAAAGGAAGATTGTTGCATCGTGAAAGTACTCAAACATGAAGGAGCTATACCATTCGTTCTGACAGCTACATCTCAGACGGCTTTATCTCTGAGTGGAATAAATCCTGTATTCGGTGATTTGTCCAATCCTTTCTCATCAAAACATGAAACAGGTGGCAGTTCTAGTGGTGAAGGCGTTCTGTTAGCTCTTCAGGGTTCACCAGTTGGAATTGGAACGGATTTGGGTGGGAGTATCCGTATTCCCTCAGTATTCTGTGGACTTGCAGGGCTAAAACCAACATCAAATCGTATTAGCGGTCAAGGTTTAGCTACACTGGGATATAAAAAGTCAGTTTCAATGCGAGTCTCTGTGGGTCCGATGAGTAAGCGAGTAGATGATTTAGCTAAAGTTATGCGGACACTTTTAACGTCAAAAATGTTCCAGTTGGATCCCTCGGTACCACCCTTGCTTTTTGATGATATCGTTTATGAGGGCAAAGACAAACCAAAATTGTCCATAGGATATTATGAAACTTTAAATGACCCACTTATTATAACTCCTGTTCCAAGTATCCGTAGAGCAGTACGTGAATCAGTTAACATTTTAAAGCAGTGTGGTCACCGACTAGTACCTTTTAGTCCACCAAAACCAAAATGGGCTTATAAATTAGCCATGAAAGCGATTTCAATCGATGGAAAGTATCATCTCCAAAATGAGTTATTTGGTGAACCACTGAACGAACATACTAAACTACTTAGTTGGATGTCACTAATACCCCACTGTATAAAAATTTTAGCAGATAAGCTCATGAAAATTCTTATTGGTGAGCCAGCAGCAGTTGCAAGTTTCAGTGATGGACCTCGAGGTGAAGCGGCTGTGTTAAACTTAATTTCAGATATCGAACTATACCGAAATGAATTTCAAAAGGCTATGGAGGAAGCTGGTGATTTAGATGTGATAATCTGTCCAGTGTTACCATTTCCAGCTTTTCCTAAATCAGCTAAATCTCTTTTCGTTACACCGGGCATTGCTTACACAGTTTTATATAACTTGTTGGATTATCCCGCTGGTACAGTTTCCACGGATATCGTAAATAAGCAAGATGTGGAAGAATCAAAAGTTATGGCTGAACAGTATAAGAGGTCTGGTGATCGTTATCATAACCAGGTACTTAGCCATCAAGAAGAAAGCGAAGGATTACCAATTGGTGTTCAGGTTGTAGCTAAACCTTGGAAAGAAGAACTCGTCCTCCGTGTTATGAAAGAACTGGAAACACACCGCATACATAGTGTATAATCAAAACAAGAACACTTCAAAATTGTTTTCATTTAATCATATTAAATACCCGAAAATTGTTTCTTACTATTGAGACTACTTGTAAGACATATATTATCAGTTCAAATTTGTAAACTCTTAAAGAAATTTTTTGGCTAGATGAAAAAATGATCTTTTTAACCTTAAAGTACAGCAATATTTCCACTCAGCTTTTCGTGATCTATTGGAAATATTCAATTTAAGATGTTCGACTGTTCATTTCAGTTTGAATTTCTATTAATCACTGAAAAATTAATGGAGCTACTTTTCTTTATCTGATTGGAGGGAAAGTAATTTGGCATCTTTCAGTATTCAAGACCCTGTAATAGTGACTATGCAGATAGCTGTCAGTCACTCATAAGGATATGATAGAATCTAGCACAAGAGTACATCCATTCTGGTTAGCAGCCTTACAGATAGCAAAAGGAAATAAAGGCAGTAAAAAGAAACTTAAAGAAGATAATGGCTACGGAAAAATAGGGTTTTGTAGGTTGACCTACGGGTTTGAAAACTGTCTGTTGTCTTTGTACTCTGTGTTAACATTTCTCATAGATCAGTTTTCGAGTGCACTTGTAACTTTTCAGCTGCAAACAAGTGAAGTAATCTTTATGTATTTAAATCACTTTGTTTTTACTTGTATAACCTGATTTTAAAATATTTACGGTGTCGAAATATACCACTAAGTAGCATAAGATTTTTAGAAAATAAGAGTAAAAGAGACTTGGTATTCTCAGTAAGTTTTAAGATATAGAAATTGTCACGAATATTGGCAGCTCACGGTGCAGATGCTCAGCTCAGAGGACAACTCACTCTGAACAAATCTCAAGTTATCTCAGCCACCAGTTTATACCACTTTACAAACTTTACTAAACTCAGTAGTATCATGACTAAATGGGATGTCTGAAAATGTTACGCACGTTTTTTTATGTCGTCACTATCTTAGATCAAAGAAAGTACATTAGTTAGACATCTCAGTGTATTGTTAGGCTAAAAATCTTGTTTATTGGTTAATCGCGTTTGTTGGAACCACTGCAGCTGAATTCAGTCTTCTGAAGGCAACACGGGTCAAATCCATATCTCTATACTATTTAAATGAGCATAGCAAACATATGCACTGTAGTATACGCAAGCGTTCACAGTCAAATTTATCTTATCAGAACCATCATACAGGGTAAAGTGGTATTCGACAACTGGAACCTCTTCATGTAGCAGCAGCTTACTAGAGCAGGTAAAAAACAATTAAATCCCTTTTCAATTCAGGTGGACTGTATCTCTTAAAAGGATAGACAGCAATTGTAGCTCATGTGGACTGTTTTAGTGGTGTTGCCGGACGATCTCATCGTAACTGCATCTCTTAACATCATCAATGCATATATGAGTAAACTGACGGTTTTCCAGATACAGCAGCAATCATTGCATAGTCATAGGTTGAAAAGCCTACCGTCCTCACTTAGTGCATAGCGAATTTCAATGCAACTGAAGAAAAAGGATATTCTCAAGAGATATTATCTCTGAAATTCATTGAACATTCTAATTAATAGTCCAAAAAAGAAAATACTTTATGAAAAGTAGGTAACTATGGATGTCAATTTCTGAAAGCTAAAACACAACCCTAAGTAACCTAACAACACCTTCTGGGACTGAATGGAGTATCTCACCTTTACACTGTTCGCATAAGGACATTAAGTTTTGCGGTTGTGAAGACATTCGTTTCGAAATTTTTTTTAGAACTAAATGGAAGTATTTATTTTTGTCAGTTATCTTAAATCTCATATTGCTTTTCCAATTCTTAAGTTTGGGGAACGACCCATTTGCTTCCGCTCTATCAACTAAATTTACACCAAAAATTCAAGGGTTGGTCAAAACTGGGAAATAAGCGTTACTTAGTGCTGCAAACGAGCATAACACTTCTATACTAATCGTAACTTCAATTTTTTGAGTTTCATAGCATTTAATAGTAATCATTCACGAACAACTCCAGTCAAAGTCTGTATTTTTGTGACTTTTCATAGATTCGTATAACATCAACATGACGTTTCACGCTACTGTCCAATGCCAACCTAATGAGTTACTCAAGTAACCGCTAACCGTTTGGTGGCTCTGACTACTGGATTAGTAGTCTACATGGCTCAACTGTATCAATCCCCGGGTTGACCACATGGAGTTACTAATCATGCGCGATAAATTAGCGTGGTTACTAACTAGTGGGTAGCTGAAGGGTAACTTTATGTTTGATGAGCTTCTGGAAGCATTCAGTTCAGCGTCCTAGCTTTTTTTATTACAGTCTTTCAAGTGGTATTCTGATGGAACATCCCCTTTTAAAGCACTCCATCCAGTAAGACTAAAAGGCTTTCAAATGTGATTTAAAACTGCTACATTCTCCTTTTCTTTCATTTTTTCTAACAATCAGTTCATTTGAACCGGAAATTTTCGGTAAATTTGAATTTCGGTTCTTGTATCTAATTATGTACAGTAGAATTCGGAATAAATTTTCATGAACAGACTTGTTCAGGTAATCCTTGAAAGATTCTCTGGTATCCATCAACTTTAAATGTAGGTAATTGGTCCCTTTATCTCGACTGTAGTGGGCACTTAGTGACACAGGGATGGGAGTCACTGTGGATTCAACGTTCTTGTATTCAAACAGCGAATAGAGTCGCTCTACTTGTGGCTTTGTGTTTCATTAGCGTAATGTCGAAATCCAGGTAGATGCTCCAATAAGTAAAATACAGTCAAACATCTCATTTGAAGGCTGGTTAGTAGCAATATAACTTCTTCATTGTTAAGTTGAAGTAAGCAGCCACAAAGTGATAACAATAAAAACAATAATCACTTTATTCCAGACAACGGTTTCTGATACAGTAAGAAAATCTCAGTATGATATTTCAGCAGATTTACTCTTTGTACAGTATTTTCAAATTAAATAACCATCGCAGTTAAATAATGTTAATAATGACAGTATGATAAGCAATAATACACAACGACCCGTTGTTTTTAGGCTGCCGTCTAGTTTGTGGGCACGTTGTTATACAGGGGGAAGAAGAGAATAGCGCCTGTAGGTTTGTTGGTGGAGGATCATTCAGCCAGCATAAAAATTAACAGTTGATGGTAATTATGCCAGTAATAGTAGTGTGATGAACTGCTGTGCGCCCAAGAGTCCACTGACATCTACACTGGTATTTTTTTGTAATTCTGTTGCTAACTTGTACGGCGATAAGTTGGAGACATTTTAAGAATGGACAAGAGTACTATTTACGATTTACTGACATTTGAATAGTAAAAACAAGTACAAAAAGAGTAATTTGATGTAGTACATAGAGTGGAAACATTTTAGTTGCCCAAAATTTTAATCAGGCAGCCAGAGACCCCTTTCACATACCGTTAGCAAAAGTCAGTGAGTACATAGATTAAACCAAAAAATAGGCATCAAACTAATGAAAATCAAATCGTAACCAATCAATCGGGCTGTCTTAGCACTTTGTCCAATTCTTACTATACAGGTTATGTAATTGAGATTGCCACATTAAAACGTTCAGCTTGTATTGGCAAGACTTTTATACACGGAGGAAATAAGATGACACAAAATTTGGTCAAAAAATGCTACAACGGTGAAGTTGTACTGTTCAGTGTAGTGAGGTATGGCGTCAGTAAAGTGTTTTGAAGGATAGTCAGTATGTACCGCTGTTATCTTGTAGTTATCAAAAGAGGTTAGGAAATCTCGAAAATAAGACGCCTCTTGATTCAAAACGTCTGTTGTTGGAGTCAAGGTTTCAGAAGTACGGGACCAAACCCATAAAATAAAAATCGAATCTTCTAGAAAAAACTGCACATCACCGACCTCCAGTAGGTATTTTCCATATTAGAAACCAATATCTCAGGTCAGCAAGACCACGAACACTAAACTTTTTTCTTTTAGGATAGTTTTGAGGAGGAGGATGTATTAGTAATCAAACTGATTCTGATTATCATAAATTTTCTGCCTCATAACTTCCTTATTTGCTTTCTCCTTTATTTGGTACTGATCTCACCTCATTTTAAAAATCTTGCACTTCTGTAACCAGTACTAGAAAATCGAAGTCACAAGATAACAGTCTTAGTTACCTGAAACCTGGCTCTAAACTTCATGTCACAGCATTCAATCTTAAAAAATCTAACAGCCAAAACTATTTTATCAAAAGTCACAAATGTATGCCTTCTTTCTCAGATTTATGTTAAAAATATCTGAGCATGTTTACTCACCTGACATGGTTGATCTGTACAACTCATCCTACGTGTATTTCACTGTCTAGCAATAATTCCTAGGGCAAAAAATGCCCTTTCCAAATTAATCATACTTCACAGTCGCCTGTAAACTGTTTGACTGAATTTCAGAGCAACAGTCTGACCTGTTTTTAAAGCGTTTTCATACCTTTTAGTATTCTCTACCTGCTCGATGTGTGACTGAGAGTTTTACGGAGTTAGGAATGAATCCTATGGAAGACCGCATAGATAAAAGTGCAAACTTGGACACTGTAGTAGGATGTAATTCCATATGAGATTTGTTTATTTGAAGAATACATAGACTCAGACAGAAACCTGAATGCACTCGAGTAAATATCCTGGCGGGTGATTTAAATGCTCAAATGCGCTTACTGGACCAGATAGAAGGATACTTGCATAATACATTCGAAATCATGGTGCAGTCAGGTAATCATAGTGACCACTTGTTACAACTGTGCTATGTCAACTACTTATTTCGAACGAACTTCAACTATAGATATAAAAGGAGACACTGCTTAATGTGGTGACTACCAACTTTAAAACAACGTTAGCGTAATTAGACAGTATCTTTATTCATTACGTTCGGTGGTGGTTAGATGAGAATTGGCACCTTTTGATGCACCTACTCAGTATTGCAGTCTTCCCTAGTGCGTATTTCTTTTAACTGGCCTTAAAAGTGGAGGATTTGACAATATTCGACCTATATTTCTTTTGTAGAATTG